ACATGTATTTCTAACAATAAGATTTCGTCGTATTGTTATTTTTTTTCTCACTGAAAAAGAGGAGCCTTGAAGCTTTCTATATTTTATGTTTTATAAAGAACGTTATAAATGAGCATATCAGAAAATGAAATCTAAATCTTATTAATTGTAAATAATTTGCAACAACGTTTCGAAAAAAGTTGAATATTTTTAAATTATACGCATTCACAAAACACATATATAGTAAAAAAAAACAAAAACCAAAACGACATGGTTTAGCTATCAAAAATTCGAATGATATATCTGTTTCAGATAATACGAGAAACATTCATCGTTGCATAACCACATTGAGTTACGAGTACCAAATATTGTGAAGAGAAAAATATTTTGTTCGCGTAAGTCCAATTAACCTTGCTCCAAGTAGTAGTAACTGTGATATACTGCCGTTACTGATAAAGCGTAGCCGTATAACAACGATTCGATCGCAAAAAGAGATCCTGTCAATGTAATTTACAATGGCACTGAAACACAACGCGAAACGTATATTCAGCACGACTGCGAATCATTACGGATGTACTTAACGTCGGAGTTTGCTCGGCAAACATTATTTATAATAGCAGTACACGCCATTGATCAGACCGAATCCGTTATCGAGAAAGACGGCCGTCGACTCTAAATCTTTGTAGCGGGGCTCGAGGGAGACCCGGTTGTGGAGATAAAAGAGAACTATATTAGCCGTAAACTCATCCGTCAGTGTCAAAACGTCAAAGAGTCGTCTTCGGGATATTAGCGGCGCCGCTACAACAGACAGTTCACGCAGAAGCTACGCTCTGTCGACTGTCTTTATGTTTTTCTTTTTTCAGACAGCTAAATGAGATAAAGAAATCGATATTGAATGAGACACAAATCCTCTGAAGAAATTGATATAATTAAAAAAAAGAACGGAAAGTACAAAGAAAGCGCAAATAGTCTGCATTTAGAGAGTGAAGTACTTGCAAAATTGAATAAAATGTAATATTTTATTCAAAATATTTATTAAAATAATATAATTTATTAAAAAATTTTTGCTATTTTTTATTTAATAATATTTGTTATTGCTATCGATGCATATTTTCAAACAATCCATCATCTATTGAAGAAAAAAATCTGATAATAATTATATCATATGTTAATAATTTAAATCAAATTTTATGTTTCGATAACCAATTATAAACGATAATTTTATTTTTCTAAATATTGTCTTACTTGTTTTTATTCATTACTAAATAGTTAATTACTATATTAATTGGTTACTATTATGTTTGGTAATATTAACTAAATATTACATCAATTTACTAAATAAAATATATTTGACATTAGCTGATACGAGACTTTTTTCAGTGCAATGAGAAGAACAAAGGCTATTTCAAGGTGGAAGAAAGTTTTATTTTTACGATTGCAAAAGTAAAAGTAAAGGCAGTTCCACGAAGGTCGACAGTGCAATGCACTTGCAGAGAAAATTATTTCTCGAAAGTAAAACCTCAAATATCGAGGCGATTGCAGATTTCTGTTCACAGCTTATATTATAATAGTTAATGATACCAAGAGAATGGTTATAATGACTTCTAGTGTTAAATTACGGTCGACATACCTATATGCATTTCTCAGATACTGTTCGGTTGCATTCCTGGGCGAAGTGCTCCCCGGGGTAATTATTGTTTACCACGGGTATGCGGTCTACGTAGCGGGCGTGTGGATATCGTCATAATTCGTCGTAATTACCTTGTAACATAGTTACTTCATCGATCGCTTTATCTTGCTTAAGCTGTACTTAACGGAATGGCCGTAATCGCCTAACCGCGGAGCGTTTGAGTTCCAACGAGGTCTGATAGTCAAGCTCTTTAATGGCTGTATCGCTCGTCAAGCGGACGCGTATGATGCGTGCCTGGCGAGCGCGTAAATGCGTTACACGCGTGAGTGCACTGTTGAATTTCGCCGAATATGTATTTTGCACGTTTCATTCTACGCGAATATATCCGAGTGTCATGACAATATTGCAACGGAGCTTGTCGAAACGATAAATATAAAAAAGGATCATTCACACATATCGATAAATAATATCGTAAATTCGCTTTAAATTATGCGTTCAATAGATACGTGAAAATTTTTCTCAGAATACAATTTTTCAACTTTTTTAAATTTGTCAAAATTTAGAACCTGTGAATTTCAAAATTTTTTGAGAATTTTTATATAATTTTATAACTATTCAGATTTTTTATTTTTCATTCTACGTAGTATCATTTTTAAAAAAAACTTATAAGATCTGAAAGAATTTAAGATATTTTTTCAGAAATCTTTACATAAATTAAATATAACAAGTTCTTAAAAATATTATAAGACACTACGAGAATTTTTTTCATCAGGGACGTATTAAAATCCAATACAGAATCACCATTTATATCATCCAGTGATCTGGCAAGCTTAGATTTATGAAGACATTTGTGTGTGTGTGTGTAACAAGTCTCGTGTAAAAAAATATATTTAAAACGCTACTTACGACCAAAGATCAGTAAACTCATCACATTGGAAATTTTTGCTATTTTTTATTTAATAATATTTGTTATTGCTATCGATGCATATTTTCAAACAATCCATCATCTATTGAAGAAAAAAATCTGATAATAATTATATCATATGTTAATAATTTAAATCAAATTTTATGTTTCGATAACCAATTATAAACGATAATTTTATTTTTCTAAATATTGTCTTACTTGTTTTTATTCATTACTAAATAGTTAATTACTATATTAATTGGTTACTATTATGTTTGGTAATATTAACTAAATATTACATCAATTTACTAAATAAAATATATTTGACATTAGCTGATACGAGACTTTTTTCAGTGCAATGAGAAGAACAAAGGCTATTTCAAGGTGGAAGAAAGTTTTATTTTTACGATTGCAAAAGTAAAAGTAAAGGCAGTTCCACGAAGGTCGACAGTGCAATGCACTTGCAGAGAAAATTATTTCTCGAAAGTAAAACCTCAAATATCGAGGCGATTGCAGATTTCTGTTCACAGCTTATATTATAATAGTTAATGATACCAAGAGAATGGTTATAATGACTTCTAGTGTTAAATTACGGTCGACATACCTATATGCATTTCTCAGATACTGTTCGGTTGCATTCCTGGGCGAAGTGCTCCCCGGGGTAATTATTGTTTACCACGGGTATGCGGTCTACGTAGCGGGCGTGTGGATATCGTCATAATTCGTCGTAATTACCTTGTAACATAGTTACTTCATCGATCGCTTTATCTTGCTTAAGCTGTACTTAACGGAATGGCCGTAATCGCCTAACCGCGGAGCGTTTGAGTTCCAACGAGGTCTGATAGTCAAGCTCTTTAATGGCTGTATCGCTCGTCAAGCGGACGCGTATGATGCGTGCCTGGCGAGCGCGTAAATGCGTTACACGCGTGAGTGCACTGTTGAATTTCGCCGAATATGTATTTTGCACGTTTCATTCTACGCGAATATATCCGAGTGTCATGACAATATTGCAACGGAGCTTGTCGAAACGATAAATATAAAAAAGGATCATTCACACATATCGATAAATAATATCGTAAATTCGCTTTAAATTATGCGTTCAATAGATACGTGAAAATTTTTCTCAGAATACAATTTTTCAACTTTTTTAAATTTGTCAAAATTTAGAACCTGTGAATTTCAAAATTTTTTGAGAATTTTTATATAATTTTATAACTATTCAGATTTTTTATTTTTCATTCTACGTAGTATCATTTTTAAAAAAAACTTATAAGATCTGAAAGAATTTAAGATATTTTTTCAGAAATCTTTACATAAATTAAATATAACAAGTTCTTAAAAATATTATAAGACACTACGAGAATTTTTTTCATCAGGGACGTATTAAAATCCAATACAGAATCACCATTTATATCATCCAGTGATCTGGCAAGCTTAGATTTATGAAGACATTTGTGTGTGTGTGTGTAACAAGTCTCGTGTAAAAAAATATATTTAAAACGCTACTTACGACCAAAGATCAGTAAACTCATCACATTGGCAGTGACAATTCGATATCGACGAATCTGAGGAAAACGGCAGTCTGCGATATAAAGAATGGCCTGCAAACACCGAGAGATCGGTAGCCACGAGGCGTTAAGTACCGGATGACTCAGTGCGCACCGCGGTCGGGGCCGGGGCGATAATTAAAACGCTTTTACAAAACTGTAGGCAAACAGCGCTTAAGTGGCTGTCATTCGTTACCCCGTGGGGCCGCAGCAAGTCGGTAAGTCGCTGAGCGAGCAATCAATCACCCGACCCGTTCTCCCCTACCCCCGGCGGCCCATTACATTTCTATTTTGAAAGCTGCTTATTAAGCGGGGCCGGCTGGAGAGACAGACAGGTTTCACGGTATAAAATATCGGGTTGCCGTGGTGGCAGGAACGACGGTTCCGTGTCGTGGCAGCTATGGTAGCTCCAGCGCGGGAGGGTAGCAGGGGAAGCGACCATAGCATGCGGAGAGAGAGAGAAAGAGGGACAGAGTGACGGAGAAGGGGCTGGTGGAGAAGCAGAGACAGAGGGGAGGGGGACGCCCTCGTCGGTCGGACGTGCGGGGAGGGGAATGGACGGCTGTAAAAGCGGTGAAATATCAAAGCCGGGATGGGAGCTGTCATCGTCGGGCCAACATCATGGGTGGCGTGTTGAATTAGAATGCCTTCCCACACCCCACGCAGCACCGCAATTCTCCCACCATAATGCCATCTCCCCTACCACTGCTGTGCGTCCGAACTCACTGGTGGGGATGACAGGAGAGGACAGGTTATACACCCCGGTTCGTACAGGATAGGGGTAGTCAGGAGGGCAAAGAGGAGGGGGGGGGGACGTGTCAGTTTCTCGTTGAGCCGCCAGACAGCGCGAGGATCGCATTCGGCTCGGAGCAGTCAAAGCACAGAGTGGAGCTGCTCGAGTTGCAGCCGTCATTATTTTCCTGGATTCCGTGGTGTACGCGTCGACCATTGCGCCAGGATACGTGGCCGCGCGAGGTGATCGATTCCCGACGGAGGCGCAGTTTTGACGCCGTGTCCGCGAATCGCTTTCGTTGGTCCTTCACGTCGATCGGACCCGACGTGATTCGCTGTTTTTCGTTACGCACTTACGGTGTCTGTGTAAATATCCATTTGTTGATTTAAAGTGTGTAGTGAGATCAATTAGTGGGAAACCAAATGGTTGTGCTCGAGGAAGGCAGTATGCTGACTACTGGACACAATCAGTATTTACAACCGGATTATCTTTCACCGCTTCCAACTTCGGTTAGTATTCTTTAGCAATTCACTTTCCAAATTTTCGAATTTTTCTATTTTGTTGGCCTTTGGAGTAAAAAGTACGCGTTACGAAAAAAGATTCCCACGCTAAAAATAGGAATTAATAATAATAATAACAATTATTATTATTATTGTAACTTTATTGACGCGTACGGTACAAAGAAAACAGAACGGAACGTAAAGCAAAACACAATAGGTGAAGAAACAATCAAAAGGTCTCGAATAATACCCTTTGGTATCTTACCCTCTTCAAATTTTGACATCTTTTTTATTTTGTTGATATTAGGCAGAATTTTCAATAAATGAAAAAGATTCCCACATTGAAAATAGGGATTAATGCACGAACAAATAAAAATTCAAAGTTGCGATATTTTTCCTCCCATTATATTTCACGATTTTGCAATAGAATTGCCCATTTGTGGTCCGACGGAATCAAAAGCAAAGAATAATTATCGCGTATTACCAATTTTAAATCAATATATGCTTCATTGTCTGTACCACTACAGCTTGGGATAATGTGATTTTTTTCGGATAGGTACAGTTGGACGCAAAAAAGAGTCCGCTGGCACTTTTGGCGCAGACATGCAGCCAAATCGGAGCGGATTCGCCTACGAAACCGCTGATTTCACCTTTGGAAAAGAGCTCGAAGGGCATGAGCATCGCAACGAACGCGAAATCGCCGCCGGCTACAAAATTGGAGCGCAACACTCGCGGCAGTCCGACGGACGGCAAGTCGTTGGCGTTTAAGCCATACGAGACCAACGTCGTGACGAAGAAGACTACGGACGAGAGTAGACCCGCGTCCAAAGCTAGTGTACACAGTGTCAGTGGTCAGGATAGTATCAGTGTCAGTGACAGCACGTACCCTGATAAGAAATCATCCGGCAATCGTACGCCAGTGAGCCGAAAGTCCGCGTCACCGAGTAGCCAAGCGACGGCAACGACGACCAGCGGCACCCCGTCGGTCGACCGAAAGACTCCGGCGGATCGCGAGAAGATGGACGGTTCGCCACGAAGCAGCAGCAGCAACAACAACAGCAGCAGCAATAACAACAATGGCACCAGTCCAATTATCAGATCAGGAATGGAGATCCTTTCTGGCGCGGCGCATACAAAGGACGCGAATCTAGCCGCTTACAAACCGGGTCTTCCAGGCTTCACAGGCAATCCGCTGTGCTGTCCGCCGGGCCTCGCCGAGAATCCGGCTTTCAGGCCGCCCTTCGCAGGCGCGTCGCCCTTCTCGCATCATGCGGCGGCGCTGTTGTCTGTCGGCTATCCATCGGCAGGTCCGACCGGCGGCAATCCGTACTTGAGTTACGCCCGCGTCAAGACTCCCGCCGGCGGCGAGGCCTTGGTGCCGGTCTGCAAGGATCCTTTTTGCACCGGTTGCCAATACAGTATGCACAGTGCGCAGATCATGATGAGTGCAGGCAGCTGTCCCAGCGGTTGTACGCAGTGTGATCATCAAAAGTACGGACTGGCGATGGCGTTGTCGTCCCTAGGCCCGATGCCGCCGCCGTCGTTGTCCTATCCGTCCACCCTGGCGGCCGGCGGTCGGCCCTACGTCTGCAATTGGATCGCTGGCGAGTCGTATTGCGGCAAACGATTCGCCACGTCGGAGGAACTGCTCCAGCATCTACGTAGCCATACGAGCTTGACCGGCGGTGATCACGCGGCGGCCTCCGCGGCGGCGCTCCTCGGCAACCCGCATCCGCACCCGCTGCTATCGCCGTCGACCACCCTTCACCGCGCCAGTGGCGGTACCTACCCAGCGCCGTCGTTGAGCCCCCTCGGTGCGCGATATCATCCGTATGGGAAGCCGCCGACGGGCCCGCTACCGGCCTCGCTCGCCGCCTCGCCGTACTCTGCTTTCAACGCCTTAGGACCGTATTACTCGCCGTACGCGGTGTACGGACAGCGAATCGGTGCCGCCGTACATCCCTAAGATGGATATATCCTACGGGAGGGAGGGGTTGGGGAGGGAAAAGGTGGTAGGATCTTTTGCAAGGGACCTCTTCTCGTCCCTCCCTTTTTTCTCCGTCTCTTTTTCCCTTTTCTCAGTGTACAGTTGGAAAATGTGCAAATTGATGGACGAGTCTGCCGTCTAAAACTGTTGTGTAAATAGCCATTGTGTATAATACAGATTTATTTAAAAGAATTCTATATATGTATATATAAATATAAATATATGTGTACATTGAAGATTATGATTAAAGTTTATGAGACAACTTGACAAGTGTTAAAGTTGCATCGCGAGACCATTCTCTTGCGGAACTTCTATGATATCAGAGTAATACGCATCTCTATTAAAAATCCGGTTACCATGTAGGGAGGAAGGATTACATCCCAGCTGTAAGTTGATATTGTCGCAATTGCCGGACAGAAGCCTCGCCTCTCTATGCGGGATTTAACAATTACGAGGCATTCCCGACTGCGCTTCCGAATCGCGTGCTGTTAGAATTTTTTGGCGATTCTAACGAGACACCCAGTCATCGTCGTGTTTTACAAGTGATACGATGACGATGTACAATATAGCGTCTCGTTATTCGGCGACGTACGGACATATGTTTGCGAAAATTGCAAAAAGTGCATACTGTATGTTTCCCGACGCTCCGCAAACGCAAACCTCTCGTGCTAAATGCGTTCGATAGCGCGCGGCATCGTACACGTTAAGAACAGTTTTGTCGAAGTATCTATAAATTTAACTAGATACAGATCTGTATCTAGTAATTTTGTTGGATTATTAAAATAATTATGACTGTCAACGCGCTCAAGACAATTGTTAGAATGTTAAAATTGCGACATTATCCATGCTTGAACGTTCTACGTAATTATTTAGATAGTCCAACAAAATTATTTTCAGATCTATATCTATATAGTTAAATTTGTAAGTACTTTATAAGTACTTACAATTCGAAACCATTCTTTTCGTGTACGGACGGTCGCGTGTAATTTTATGTCCATAATATAACTGTGATATTACGCTACTCTTTTGAGAAAACGAAAAAATAAGAAAAGGATATTATTAGCAAACGTATCTGAGATATCTCCGAAATAAATCACAACGTTGTAATTTATTATCGTTAGTTGTGTAAGGCAAACAACTGAATGCCGTTGCAGAAAATGAAAATAAAATTAATCTAGAGAATCTGTTTTATCATTTTCTTTTCGAAATTCGGTAATCGCGTTGGATTGATTTTGATCAGGATATATTCGAGAGTGTATCATCCAACATCAGGTCGTCACACGTCAACTAGAATATTCTAATAAAAGAAGAATAACATGGTATATGATACGCCTTATCCGTATTGTAAATATCTTTTGTAAATATCGTTGAGTTTCCATACCGCTTTAATAAAAACAATGTTTGTAGAATTATTTAATCCTTTCTACATGTTGTGCGTTTTACCATATTATTCTTTCGTTTAATCCATTTCCTTCCTTGTTTGCGCTTTACGCGCTGTTTGAGTTTTTCGGTGTTTTGGAATTACCATTTTCTTCTTATGTAAACTTTGCACGCTACTTTTCGCAGAATCATATATTCACGTTTGGATTATCAAAATACGCATATTTCTCGGATTTTTCAATTTTAGCCTGTTTTGCTCTTAAAATATACATAATAATAATGTTTGACTGCAAAGATATCTATTATTATGACATTTAACTTGATTGAACTCTTATATCGTGTCTTTTTTTTTCTTTCGCTAAAAGAAAAATCGGTCTGCCTGATTTCGCTGACCTGTTACGATCTCCGCTCGTCAGTCATGCTTGACGGACAATTTATCAAACGCACTTCACAATCTGTCACTGGCAACGAGGCGTAGTTTCTTACATGTCCAAACCCATTATTCGTCTACGTTGAAGCCTCGTAGATAAATTTAAGATACCTTTTACATACTTTATCGCACATCGTAGCACAATTCTATTATATAAACGATTAAGATAATCATTTCCGACGAATCGCGGTTGTGTTTATCAATCTCGAAAACTTTGTTTTGCTCCTTACAGATAATCTTTAGAAAATTCTGATTGCACTCTTTCATTTATTGCTCACCTTCCTCTTATCGTTAAACTAAACAACTCTGTAGCATTTTACTCGGGCACAAAATAATACCGTTATCAATCATTCTATCATGTTGTTAATCACTGTCAATAGTTATACTGATTATGAGTAATCTACTTATCATTGTATATCTCAATTATGCATCTTAGGAAGTTAACGTCTTTCACGTACACACACACACACATATGTACATTCATTTCCTTCCTTTGTACGAAATAATGGATAGCTCAATTATTAAGTTTGTCTTGGAGTGAATAACAAAATTAATCTACTACGTCTATAATTTGACGTGGCTAATCTGTCTACAAAATAAGATGAAGGATGTGAGAGACAAGTGAAAAATTCAATGCTTACAATAAATCACGATCCTTTTTCGGTGTAATTACCAGACGTCACTTCCTTTGTTCGGAAATCTTTTTCTTTCCTTTGTCTCGCTTATACACACAAACGTACCCGCTCTCTTGTCTGTTTTGCTTGTTATTACGGACACGTCGTGAAGTAAAATATACCACCGTCTTTGAGTTAGTAAAACTCTGGTGACTCAAAGGCACCGGATCTGGTGACAAAATCCTTAAATTGGCGATCCCACTCCCGCTAACACTGTCAGAATGCGGAGAGCCGCGTCCGTGTGGCGCACACGAACGGCGAGTCCCAATCCCCAGGGCACCCCAGAAGAGTAAATTTATTTCTTTCATTACGGACGGAGCGGGTCGTGAGCTCTCGGATATCAGCGCTGCAAGGCGGGGCGCATAAATCTGCAGCCTAGCGTAGGGAAGAGGGCGAGCGGAGAGGAAGAGACAGAGCGAGAGGGATGTGGGTGGCAAACTGTAGGTTTCTAGAACCGGTGGCTCTCTCTCTCTCTCTCTCTCTTGCTCGCTCGCTCTCTGTGTCGTAGGGGTATGAGAGCGAGTCGTGGAGAGAAGGTCCGCTTCATCCCTCCATCGTTTCCATCGCCGGGGTGCCGCGACAGGCGGTGGCAGGCTCAGCTGGCTCAGCAAAGTGAAATATTCGGTGATTTTAACCGTCGGGATGAATGGTCCCGCCCGTATTTCGCCTTTCACGGCGCCCTCCGTCGATTGGAATCCGTGTTATTTCGGAGCGATTATGCGTGTCGCTGAATCTCAATTAGTAACTTGTCGGAGATGTAACCGAAAATCTTTATGTGTACATCCCATAGTGTTCGTCTTTAATTCGTTGGTGTACAGGATAATGAATCGATATTTCTTTATTTTTTTGTTTTTGTTTTGTGCAACAGTGCCAAGGACATGTTTATCTGACAGAGTCTAAATGAGCAAGTGCTATAAATAGATTATCTTGAAATGCCTTTTAATTACTAACCGTACATATGGCTAATTAACATTTTTGTTTTATCATCGTAATGATAATATCATGCTTCGTAAAATTCAAAGTACTTATGAAACATGGCTGACACATGATGGATGATCCGTGCGTTTACAAATAATTTAAAAATAAAATTTCGGTATTTCTCGATATTTATTTTAGTGAAATAAATTTTTAATTTTTAGTAATTTATAAGCAATAAAAATGTTAATGATTATGCAAGGTACTTGAAATATTATCGTAAAAAAAATTATAAAAGATGGAACGATAATGTTTACGAGAGTTATAAACGATAATGAATTTATTATTTGTCTTCTCTCTCTCTCTCTCTCGTTTTTAATTATTAATTGATTTAAAAAATTTCGTTTTCAAGAATACTTGAATTTTATAAATAAATGTTGTTATAATTGATTGTAATAAATCCAGTTTAAATAATTTTTTGCAAGGACATAGTCTAGCATTTAATTTAATTTTCACGTCACAGCCTAACAAGTCCAACGGGTTATTCCACTAATTAAAAATATATGTTAAAGTGAAAAGGTTGTCGTTGTGAAAGTTAAAATAACAAGCGTAAATGAAGACGGCGAATGACGTATCGCTTGTAATTAGTGAACCTTTAATGTTTATGCCGTGTCTCATAATTCATTTGCGTCTATAAACCAGCGGAGTATATCAGTTCCAAGATTTGTGCTGACGCAATTAGAGGAAATAATGTCGCGTAGCTCGCGAATAAAACTTTCCGGGCGTCTACATATTTCATATTAATCGCTACACATTTCATTATAATTCTAACATTATTCATTTACGTTATTTCATTTCTCCGTACAAGCGCGTCGTTTTTACACCGTCGCCTGAGCGCACTGTTTCACTGTTTCACTGTTTCTTATTCAAGAAACGTGTCTTGTATGTGTATCGTAATAACGTTCAAGTTGCAGGAACGAAAAAAAAAAATAGAAAGAGATTATATTTTACGTTTGGGTTAACTGAACGGGTCGCGCATTTCGCCTCATATTAATTAAAACCTTCAAAGCCAAACGCGCCGCGTTGACGTTAACGTGATTTAACGCGAACCCGCGAGATTACATTACGAATAAACATGTCAATCAGCCGCTCAGACATTTTGTGGAAAATCAACGGTTGGCGCGTTTGGCAGCGCGGCTTGGCGTGTCTTTTCTGCGACGGACATGTGTCACGATCAGAACGTCGGAGTTACGGCTCCGTATGGCGCGTCTTAGCTGTCTCCTTAGAAGAGCCCTATCGAGTCAAGGAGGAAAATTAAAGCATTCAAAGAACGTATTAGCCGATGTTAATAGAGTCCAATCTGAATCAGTGCTTCTCCTATCGTCGAAAATATAGACTTTTGTGTGTTTTCTTTCTCACAAGCTTCTAAAAAAAGTTATTAGACTTTTCTTTTAAAAGAGTGCAATAATATTACTGCTTTTTTGTAACGTCTTTCCGATATCCTATTTAATCTTTTCGTCAATGGAAATAAAAAAAGGTATAGATAGAAAAAATACTGGACTGTCAATAACGACGACGGGTCGCTAGACGATGATCAGTCGCTATTTCCGGAGTTTCTACTTTTGATTTTCTTTTAATTATCAGCCACTCATACTATTGCATCGTAAATCGCAGTATCCATTTTTTTATTGTAGTAAAATAAAAATGTTGACTGACATCGTTAACTGCGTTTTTTACATTTTATCGTTGAAGTCACTCGCGTATGAATACATATATATTATATATGAGCACAAGGTCGTTCCTAGTTTAGTATCAAGACGAAAACATCTAGAATATGAGGAATGACTTTAAATTTTCTTAAAATACTTAATGATCACTTTATAGTTTTTAAGGAATAATTCCTTACATTCCAGACGTTTTGAATCATTTTAAAAAATTCTTATACAATCTTATATTTTAAACGGTTCAGTTTTAAAAATTACAGTTAAAAAATTTGTTTTTTTTTTTTTTTCAAAAACTCCGAAAATTATTCTAGTTATTTTGATAGAACTTTGGGAATGCTTTAAAGATATGAAGATCATTCTTTGAGACTACATTATCTCTTTTATTCAACCAGGACGAATCCGAAGATAAACGGGGTATTTCTGAAACTTAGCCATTTTTGACATGTGCTCATATAAAGTTTTTATTTTGAATCATGTGAATTAATGTGACGAATTACGTTTAAAATTTTTTAGAATATTAAGGAACACCATGCACATACATATGTTTACAGAAGTATCCCAGGTTTTTCTATATTGTATACTT